TATCTGGGTGTACCCTTTTCTTCTTCTGGAAAATTCGAGAGAGTCGCGGAGCATTTCTTACATAGATCATCTGTTGCAGCGACCAAAGTGATGGCAATCCTAAGAAATGGAAAAAGCGACTCTTGGGAGAAAAAAACCAGCCTCTTTGACTCGATGGTCTCGTCAACACTGCTCTATGCTGCAGAGATCTGGGGGACGAGATACCTGGAGGTTTTGGAGAGGACGCAAGTTCGATTTATCAAATCATTGCTCCATTGGCCAAGAAATACACCGAACTATGTGGCTCGCCTTGAAAGTAGGAGATCTCCATTAAGTGTTGAAGTGTTGAAAAAAGTGATCAATTATTGGACAAAGCTAAGCTTAATGAGTGACGAAAGACTACCTAAACAATGCTTTAATAGGCTTAGAGCTCTAGACTCATCCATTGGAAAACCTGATCCAACTTATAACTGGGTTACCCAAGTAAAGATGATTGTGGCGGAACTGGGATGTCAGGGGATGTTTTCTCTCAAGGTCTGATGAGGTTCAAAGATGAAATCATGGAAAAAATAAGAAACCATCACTCATCCAAGGACATCGACAGAGTGTTAAACTCTAAATAAAACCCAAGATATAGAAAAATCTGCTCCTTTAATGTTACCAGACCAGAGGATTATCTTCAGTTCAGGGCTCTGAATTTAAACAAATTAAGAGCCGTTAGTCGTCTCAGAGTAGCAAGTAAAGATTTTATGTAAATATACTTAAAAGATGCTACTTTGACTATTAAATCCAGTGAGGTATGTGGCGCATGCAACTGCCTTGTAACTGACCCGGTAACTCATTTTCTGATCCAATGTATCAAGTTCAACGAGCCAAGAAATAAGTACTTGAAGGCATTTATCACTGAATCCAGGGAAGATGCTAGTGTGGAGGAGATACGGAAAATAGACACTACGAAAAAAATAAACCAACTGTATTATTTCATACAGGGCTGTTCATTGAACTGTTTAGTGGTAAAGTTAATCATATAACATATATTAATGCTTATTTATATTGTCATTTGTCTTATACCTCTCGAATATTTAAAAAAAAAATAAAATAAAAAAAAAATAAAAAAAATGTTTTACTAAATGTTATGTGTATATATATATATATTTTTTTTTTTTTTTTAAATATTCGAGAGGTATATATATATATATATATATATATTTATTTTTTTTTTAAATATTCGAGAGTTATATATATTATTTATATATATATATTAGAGTATATATATATATATATATATATATATATATATATATATATCGTTTACTAATCTGTTATTATATTATATTATATTAGCCATACTTAATGCTGTGGATATTGTTAATGTTATGTTTGAATGCAGTACTAGACTCAAGATCTAACATTGTTAATTATACCATTATATTTATTTGTACAGGAATTTCCTTAGACAAATAAAATAAACTATCTATCTTATTATGATGCATGTATACCAAGTTTCATTAAAATCTGGTTCTTATTTAGTGATGATGAAGAGGGATATTATAACGCAGTTTACCAAGATACGTCAAAACAGGCCGCATCGCTATCTATGAGTTTTAGCTGCTGAACCCTCCCATCATTACAGCCGTTTAATAGTTCATTATCTTTAAGAACACTTTCTTTAGTATTGTTATGCCAATTTTTATCTTATGTTTGCGTTATTTTTTAAATTTAAAAATTATAATTTTCGTAGATATACTTATACCTTCCTTCTTTTCTATAAACATATCTCTTTATTGAGTAACATTACTTTCTGTCACATTTAAGGACACTAGTAATAGTAATAGTGTTGTTTATTCACACTCTATGTACATTAAATAAAAATAAATTAAACTTTAAAATAATACAAAAAGTAAATCTATATAAACAAAAATAAACCAAAATAACAACTTACTTTTACACAATACAATATTTACGAAACTCATTCACTCAGGAAAACTCAAGCCAAACCTTTCTCCCACACTCGTGGATGGAAAAACAGAACTCTAGGAGATCCCATCGCCTCTCATTCAGACGCATTAGTGCTATTAAGAACCAATGGAGGCTGAGCTGAGGGGCTATCACTACAGACGTACTTGGCTCAAGTGGAGAATCAGGCCATTGTCAGAACTCCGATATATTCTTATTTACAAAAGACCTCTGGGTCACCTTCTAAAACCTTAAAATAAAGTTATTTTGGATTGGAAGAGCAATAATTTAGTTTACCAATAGTTGTAGTAACGTTGAATTTGGGAAAAACATAATTATAATGAACGATTTTTTAAAAGTTCATTTCAAATTAATATTTTCATGACAAAAATTTACAAGTCTAATTCCATCACTTCACTGTATGTGTCTTTTGGTTTTTATAATAATTTTGGTTTTTGAATTAATTGATTGTAATAGGAAAATTTTATTTCCTTATTCTACAGAAAAAATAATAACGTATTAACAACGTTATTGAATAGTGCATTGGCAATAACCCTCGGGCAGTTGTCTGATATTTTTCGGCTTTATTTGACATCATCAAAAAAAAGTTTCACTGATATCGTATAATCATAACAAGTCCGCAACATCCTCTTGTTATTTAAGAGATTTAAATTTCGAAATATGAAAAAAAAAATGGCTCTTTTCTACTCTAAGCACACCAATGCATTTTTGAAGTGAGCGGGGTAGCTCAGTGGTAAGGCACTGAGCTTTCAATGCTCAAGGTCACAGGTTCGAATCCCGGCTCATGGCAGAAAAATTATTTATTCTGTTTCATTGCCCTGGGATAGGGAGACCCTCCAGGAGCACACCCAGCCTCTATAAAGTGGGTACCCTTAATTAAATAATTGATTAAGGGAGAAAACCTGGTGGTTGAGCGTGATCCTGACCCGATCCCCTCCCTGCACAACCGCTTGCCTTGAAACAGTACTTTTCCTAAATAGTACTGAACTGAAGACCCTTCATGGGTTGTAGTGGTACAGGTTTTTAAAATGAATTTTTGAAGTGTTTTTGGATTAAAATATCTCAGAAACTAAAAATCGCATGCTTTAAGCGAAGAAAATGTTCAGGATTTTATCTTCTTTTCAATGAGCTATTACTCAAAATTGTATCATGGCGCCGTGGTAGCGAAGAAAAAAGGGAAATAGGAAACGAGTTAGGTTGAACATATGAATTAAAATATGTCAGAAACTATAAATCGGACCTGCGTATCGTGAGCCGGTTAAATTTTCAGCATTTCATTCTCTTTACAATAGATTATTATTCGAAATTGTATCATAACGTGAAGCCGTGTTAGAAATGTAAAAAAAGAGGAAAATAGTTTCGAAACTAACGAGTATTATTCAAGATATGGATTAAAATAACTCAGAAACCGAAAATCGAACCTGCGTACTGTAAGTGATGGAAATGGTCACCATTTCATCCTCTCTGTAGTGGTTATTAAAAATTGTATCATAACGTGACACCGTGTTAGAGAGGCAAGAAGGAAAAATAGTGTCGAAAACCAATTGATAACTTATTTTATTGAAGATCTGAATTAACTAAAAATCGAACCTGAATACTAGCAAGATTAATATTTAACATTTCTTCCTTTGCTTAATGAGCTATTGTTCAATTTAGTGTCTTAATGCGACAGCGTGTTAGAGAGGCGAAGAGGTAAAAAGCGGCACTAGTGTGCTTAAATTAGAAAAGAGCCAAAACATCTAAAAATCGGTCAAATCACCTCTTTTACTTGGCGTTATGTCATTATTATTTTTCATCCAATAATCTATATAAATAAAATAAAGATTTTGCAACGGAATTATGTCAGATGTAAGCTCAGCAATGGCTTATTGTAGACTTTTGAAATCTTGACATTATATTAAGATTTGCTTGACTTAAAACGTAGGCTTTAAATGAAAACAAAATATTGATGAGAACTAAAGTTATGAATTCTTGAGTAATTTGTCTAGAGATCTCGGTTAATGTTGATAATAAACATATGTTTATAGGTTAAAGATCATCTATATAAATAAAAAAAAAGGTTTTGTATGTACATTGAATAGAATTATCCCGTTTCATGATATCTTTCCGTTCCATACATTACAGACACCAAATCCACGTTTAAAAGATTTTTTATCTGTCTGGATGTCTGCATTGTCCAACGAAATTTTGATCTTATATTTAGGATTTTTTGACTTTAAATATAGGCTTTAAATAAAAACAAAACATTGAGTAGAACCAAAGTTATGAATTCTTGAGTAATTTGTCCTGAGATCCCGGTTAGTCAGTTACTTACTTCGCTTCCCATCCCAACCTAATCTATCGCGAGCGACATTTAAAAGTTGTACTACTCAACCGATGGAAAAAAATTATCACAACTCAATGGGAAAACATAAAACGAGTAAAACACTCATTTTTCAACTTTGTTCTTCCCGTTCAAGGTGTCGTTCGATTCAACTTCCCGAGCCTAACAAATGTCGTCGTATACATTTTTTGGATTAACCAAACGGACTAGCCTGAAATCAGGAAAAAAAATCCAAAAAATTTCATCCCGCCCGTCACAATATTCAGATCAAGTTCTAATTTTACAGGGATGTAGGTGACTCAATGTCCAATCTCATTTTGACAGCGATAAACTCAACAGAGCTTAGAGAAGTTGAGAGACTACAACTCTTTTTGATTAATTAATCGACTCCGCAATCTCCTTGACAAATTTTAATGGATGGTCGGTTAAGTTGTGTGATACCTAAACAAATAGCCGAATAACAAAGTTTTTGTTATGACTGTTGCGAAACCTTGACTTCCATAAGCCCCGCTATAAAGAATTTCAAAACAACCTCCCTCCCTCCTACCGTCCCAATTTTATAAATTTGAATTTGGACCCTCCCCTCTATTATACAAAATTAAAACATTCCCAAATTTTAACTATGCACCCGTCAACGACGGGAATATCAGCTAGTTTTAAATATAAACAGAATAATCGAAAACTAATTAACATTTTTTATGAAATAATATGATCAGTATCCCTTTAACATATGACATAGATATACTTATCACATTTTTAGTGCAGTGTAGTGTTTAAGTGAGTCAATAGAGGTTACGAAAAAGAGATGATTAGAATTAGCTTTCCATTATCGTTCATTTTGTTTTTTACATCATCAAGAGAACTAACAATAAACGGAGAGAAGAAGACTTTATAGTTGGACCCCGAGCACGATGGAGGATGCGAGGCTGTGAGGCGGCCTTGGACGGGAAGAGTAGTGGGGCCAGTCGAGAGAGGAGCTGCGGCATGAGCGGACAGACAGAAGCATGATGCTAAGCACGGGCAAGTTACCGTCGCAGCGGTCCACGGAGGCGGTGGTGGGGGCGGCGCACAGCCAACTGCTCGGCAGTACTGCCGCCGCCAGGATGCGAGCGGGGGGCCGCCTCCTCGTCTACATCTTCTGCTGCTTCCTCTACCTCGTCTTCGGCGCCCTCGTCTTCTCCTCCATCGAGTCCCCGCTGGAGCTGAGGCTCATCACCAAGCTCAAGTACCTCAGGCAGCAGATTCTTCAGGACCACCCCTGCCTCTCGGGTGAGTACTCTCATCACTTTTTATTAATTAATTAATTAATTTTAATCCTAAACATATGAGAATCACTTTTTCGTGTCGCGACAACAATGATAAATATAGCTTGTTGAACCATATTCGTTTATTTCACAGTAGATTATACAGTCACATGATTGCCCTGAAAAGATTATAGAGATTATGGACAATCTAGATTAAGACATTCGACATGACTGCACATGGTAACCGCCGTCAGCTGAAGGTGTCACCATTGTGAGGTTATATTGACGTCAGGTTCCGTGTACTCGTCTAATAGTTCAGTGTATCAAAATAATATTAATCTTGATTATTAAATGATATTGAGAATATCAGCTTCAATTATTTGATCATGCGAATGTATTTATATCCCAGAACGCTTGTATAAGAATAAAACACGGAATATAGACACATCACCATTCTGCTCATCTTCAATTTATTATCACAGTATATATCACAGAACATAAGGGGATATAGTTGGGTACACTCACACCACATATACATGAATACAGACATATTCATCTATACTTTTGATTTTTGGTTATGTTCATTTTATTTAAATATTATTGATTAAAATAATACAATATAATTTTTCATCTTCGAATAAATTTCGAATGCATTTCTATTCCTTCATGTGCATATAAAAATATCTTTAAGAATGAACTCTTACTTCGCTCATTAATATCTTTTATACTCATTGTGAACGTATATGTATTAAGTAAAACACTAAGCACCTAATCTAAATTAGACACGTTACGCTAAACAATAATTTATTTTCGCTTTTGATTGTACTCCGATTACTTAAATTTACTTCTGATCATCAACTGTAAACAAGCTTGTTTTTCAAGTATTGTTTCAATTTTTCATTTTTTTTTTTTTTCGGAAGCTGAGATATTGGAAATATATTTCTATTTATAATTTGCTTTATGAGTTATAATAATTTATAATTCAGTATAGTTATTGATGATTTTTGTTTTGTTTTTAAATTTAAACATTTATAGTAATCATTTTGGTTACTTGAATTTTGTGTTAATTCATCATGCATTTGATATTACAAGAATGGACATATGTTATATATTTGCTCTATCATCATTTATTCTAGTTTCCACTTTTAAACTCGAGTTGTTGTATCAGGTATGAATTATTATATTCTTGAATTTATTCTAATTTGACCAATTTCGGGTCTTATCGGTTTTATTTTATTTTTTATATTCAGTTGTTTGAATCTTTCATTTTTCTGTCTCGTGAATTAAAAACAAAATCTGGTGCGCGCAACACACAACTTTCACTCACCCTTCTACTTTGAATAGAAATTATTTTCTGGCAATGATGGACTGTTATAAAATGTTTGAAGTGCATTTTAAACGGTGCTAAAGCTGAAAGCTTACAGCTGGCAAATCATTAAGACCATTAAAGTGACAAAAACCCTATTTATTTTATCGACAGTAGGAAATAAAAACCTCGTTACTCCATCTGTTTTTGTAAAACACATAACATAAAGGTATAAACTTTCCCACTAGAAATATCAGTAAATTTAATAATAAAAAATGTTAAAATTGGAGTTAGTCATTCTGTTAACAGAAAGGCTTAAATATGTCTAGGGCGATCTGAAAATACATCTGTATATTTAACCTATAAAGTTATAAATTGTACGACTATTATTAAATAAATCAAATGAAAGGTATTTTGGAGGAAGACATTGAATATTGGGAATTTAAATCCTATATGATCATTTGATGTATTTCATGCGCTATTAATATACCGAAGGCTTACTTCTAAATCTCTTGAAGAAAAATTACCCAAGAAAAACTTTTATTTATTTATTTTCTATGATGAATGTTAGTGAAAAGTAGTTACTTTGAAGATATGGAAGAAGTGAATTGGATTTTTTTAAAGATTTTGGAAGTAAGCCACGACCGATACATCAAATTTACTTATATTCATTAACTAGATATTAAAAATTAATAGAAAATGTATAATGTGAATAATAGCAAAAATGACAACCCTTCTGCGAATGCCAATTTGAACTAGAAAATATGAGTCCCATTAAATTCATATTTTTTCTTTCTGTTTCAGCTAACGATATTTTTAATTTTAATAATTAATAATTCAGAACGTTTAGAGTTGATTAGTTTTGTCTGTTTCATAATTTTCCCTTGGACAATTAGACAGATTGTGTTGCTTTTTTTTGTATTTTCCCCCTTCCTCCTATGTGTATCAAAGCTATACTTGCGCGTAATATCCCAAAAATATGCTTTTCTACAGATTGTAGCACCTAAACAACATTTACGATCACAACACATCTAAACAGATCAAGCGATTTAGATGAAACTTTCCATCAGCCTTCTGATTTTTCATTATAGTACGTCTCCATGCAAGTAACAAATAAGCTTTATGGACTAATGAAAATTTTACCAGACTATAAATGAGCAATATCATGATAAATCACACAGCATTTGAAAGATAGTTAAATTCTTGAAAAAACCTACCTCAATTGGATCATTACCAGCAAAGATTTTACGAACTTTGCTGGTATGTCTTTTTCAATATTCTGTATAACTTCACATAGATACCCGTTTGTCCTTTTGTTTTTCGAATAATTCGAAATACAAAAATTACGAATGTTTATTTGAAACTTGATGAAGTTGTCTACAAATCTGAACATTAATATATAATAAAATATTAATCGAGCTAATATTTGTGAAGATACAGAAAATAATTTTTGTGATAGAATAAAAAATCTTGTGACTGGACACATTAATGGATATATTTATTATTAATATAATATTAAAAAAAAAAATCAAATATACTACTTGTGGCCTTAAATCTTGGTTAATCAAAGGTGTGTTTTTGTGTGCAAGACGACTACAAAAAAAAAAAAAAAAAAAAAAAAAATATATATATATATATATATATATATATATATATATATATATAAAATGAAATTTTAATAGCCCCAATATTAGTAACTCTACAGAAAATAATTTTATTATTAATAAAAATAATTTTTATATTTCTCGTCCAAAGCAGCCAGCGAATCCGTGTGGGTGGAAATACCTGATATTTTGTTTTCCTTTAATTGTCACCTTGTATGAACATTAATTAAAATCTCCACAAATGGGGTAAATTAATCATTAAAGTATATTTATATGCCAAATAAATATGTATTTCGCAGTTTTATTATTAACAATACCGACGGCCAAAATATCTTTAGAACATTGATTAGTGTTTAAGTCAATGGACCTCTAATCGCTTTACGGGCCCATGAGCTTAAAGCTGGGACTTAGTCAACCTTAATTTAATACCATAGGCTCCTGCCTTCGCATGATTTATATCTAGTTTAGTATATTAGTCATTTTAGTATATTTTAGTTAGTATAATAATTACGGTTTTTGGTAATTACGGTTGGGTAATAAGAACGGTATATGTTATCATTTTATTTTCATGTTGCTATGGTTTCTCTCTCTTTCATATTTGTTGTTGTTATCTTGTATGTACTGTAGGCCTAACATTTAGGCACAGAAAAATAAAAAAAAGTTGTGTACTGTCAACGTTGAACCCACTACTAACTTATAATATTTTTTCTACATTTATATCTAGTTTAGTAACAATAGTGGTGTATTCATGCATCGATAATGACGGAGGTTAAAAAGTTTAGTAACAATAGTGGTGTATTTATGCATCGATAATGACGGAGGTTAAAAAGTTTAGTAACAATAGTGGTGTATTTATGCATCGATAATGATAGAGGTTAAAAGAAGAAATATACTGATAACATTAATTATTATAAATAACCAAAGAAAAATTAAGGGAGTCCAACGGCTCTCGCCTTGCTTTTAATAAGTGATTTTACTTTCACTTATCTATATATGTAATATATAGTGAGGGTAAGTATTACGATCGTGAAAATTTTCGAGTCGAGTTTTCAACGGAAAAACACGTTTTGAGACCCTGACTCCAAATGAGGTACCCCCAAAGTCCCGAAAAATGGTCTGTGTGTATGTGAACACTCTAGCTCGAAAACGAAAAGTCGTACGAAGCTGATATTACGTATTAAAGATAGGTATATGCCATATATGTCCCAGCAACTTTTTCCTTAAAATCGGCTAACCGGAAGTCACATGATGAAACACATTATTACAATTTTTTCAAAACCGGCTCTAACGATTTTGATTAAACTCGGTGTATCATTGTATTATTAAGTGGTCTTTCATATCATTTACGTTGATGTCACTTTACAGGGCTTAAATGCCCAATGTTCATATACTTCTTCCTCTAAAGTACCTTTAATATGGATTATTTCAAATAATTAACTATCTTTCATTATTAAAACTTACGAAAAAATACTAAATATAACTTTTGATAGAATTGAATGAAGGATAAAAACATAAAAATGCTTATCCAGATCGAAAATGAATCTCCGGAAATACTAGTCAGAAGGTATACGTATAACATATCGGTGGAAAGCGGAGAATTTCAGAAAAAATAATAATGATGTAGAAGATAACGGAGAGTGACAAAAAAAATATAAATAATAATTTGAAAAAAATAACATTATTTGACATAAATCACATGTTTCCAAGGAAATTAAATGAATTTTGGTTACTATATGTTAACAAAGTTCTAAGTTTGACAAAAATATTTAAAATCCACCGAATCAAGCCAATGTCATTGTTTAAAATACTATTTTATTGTACTTGTGCGAAAGAAGAAGTGGAATATAAAAAATATTTCATGGATATGTTTATAACCTCAAATACATTTTCTGTAGTTTAATAACTCTAGATAAGATACAATCCATAATCAACTGGTGATATAACAAATAGAACTTTTGTTATTTAAATAGTATTTATGATTAGTTAGCTGTAATCTTTTAGCTTTAACTCAATTAGTTAGTTAAAAATTCAATTAAAAAATTTCATAATAGCCCAACATGGCCAGAAAATAATTTCTATTCAAAGTTGAGCAGTAAGTAAAAGTTGTGTTTTGCA